TCTTCTACGGCCCCAAAGTTTGTTTTGGCCCGGGCGGGCCACCCCACACGCAAACCTTAAACGGGTCTACTCTTCTTTCTTGCGCTCGGCCGCAGCGCCTCCCGACGGTCGGCGTTGCGGTCTCGCTTCGTTTCGTTGCAGCGGCGTCGGCTCTGCGCGCAAAGGCTAAGAAGATATTTAAGCCTGCCCGGCGTCTGAGGGCAAACCCTAAACCCTAAAAGAGTTGTGTTTGGGTGGCCTTGGGGTGGGCTTGCCCGCAACGTGATGGCGTGCGTAATGGAGAGGGGCGGCGTGAAAGCATACCGATAGCCGCCCCGATAAAGGCGCACGCCATGACCGGTGAACACCCTAAACCCTAAACCCTAAAACCCTAAACCCTAAACCCTAAACTGAGAGTGAGGGCGTGGCCGTCTAGCAGCCCGAACGTGCCGAAGCCCTTTCTGGCAAGGCGGGCTCCGTAGCAGCAGGTCCGTCAGGCCTGCGAAGGAGCCCCGCCCGTCAGGGCGACGGGATAAGCCGTCAGCCCCTAGCAGCCAGCTGCTGCATTCGCCTTATGCTAATTACCCTATTTCCTACGTTCGTATCTCCGCGGAGCTTAGAGTCCCGCCCTTTTTAATTGGGGAGCCCGTTTGGACCCTACGTTCTTATCTCTGCGGAGCTTAGAGTCCCGCCCTTTTAGTTGGGGAGCCCTTCGTAGCCTCCCAGGCTGTCCAATTAGTCCTTTCCTGCCTCCCTGGAGCCTCCCGGGCTGTGCAATTGGTCCTTTCCTGCCTCCCTGGTGCCTCGTCGCAGGCTGTCCATTAATCCTTTCCTGCCTCCCTGGTGCCTCCCTTGGTGCCTCCCAGGCCCCTGCCTCCCTGGTGCCTCGCAGGCTGTCCAATTAATCCTTTCCTGCCTCCCTGGTGCCTCGCAGGCTGATCTTTCCTGCCTCCCTGGTGCCTCCCTGGTGCCTCCCAAGCTGTCGAAATGGTCCTTTCCTACCTCCCTGGTGCGTCGCAGGCTGTCCAATTAGTCCTTTCCTGCCTCCCTGGTGCCTCCCAGACTGTCCAAATGGGCCTTTCCTGCCTCCCTGGTCGCTCCCTGGTGGCGCTGAGCAAATTTCAATGGCGACCGGCACGCACGTTTCGTTGCAAATCCCAGGGTGGCCCCACGGTGGTCGAGCAATTCGCTTAATAAAGGCTTGCTTGGCATCTGAACCCACCGGCTGGTTGGCACCTACACCGCCGGCTGTCTCCGGTTGAACAACGATCTTTTGCGGGCCGGTTTCTCCGTGGACTCTTGCCCTAAACCCTCTCGTCAGGGGCCAGCGTCGGCGTCAATATATCCCCACGTTGCGCCAGTAGCGAGATACCCTCTAACTTCGCGCTCGGCCGGAACTTCGCTCGATCTCTCGCTCGTTCCGACCTTCCGCTCGCCTCTCGAACTTCGCGGCGCGAGCTCGTGAAAGTTGTCTTCGAAAAAAAAGGGAATTGCGCCGGGCCCCCGCCAAGGGTTCGAATGAACCCTAAACCCGAAAAGGTTGAGACGTGGGAGGAGCGCAAGCGGGGGTGGGAGAAGACAACTCATGAGGGCGAGCGAAGCGAGCCCACTCGAAGATGCAAACCCTAAACCTTTAGGGCTAGCGCCACTTGTGCGCCAACACAGGTTCTTTTTTTAAGGTTGCAGAATTACTTGCACGGTTTTCGTTTTACATGTTTAGAAGTTTTAGGTTTTGGGGTTTAGGGTCCCTTTGGAAAGGTAATTTTACCATTTGGAATGGTTATTTTACAATTCGGAAGGGTATTTTTACCCTTTGGAAGAGTAATTTTACCCTTTGGAAGGGTAGTTTTACCCTGTAGAAGGGTAATTTTACCCTTTGGAAGGGTAATTTTACCCTTTGGAAGGGTAGCTTTACCCTCTAGAAGGGTAGTTTTACCCTTTGGAAGGGTAGTTTTACCCTTTGGAAGGGTAGTTTTACCCTTTGGAAGGGTAGTTTTACCCTTTAGAAGGGTAGTTTTACCCTTTGGAAGGGTAATTTTACCCTTTGGAAAGGTAGTTTTATCCTTTGGAAGGGTAGTCTTACACGTTGGAAGGGTAATTTTACCATTTGGAATGGTAATTTTACCATTTGGAAGGGTAATGTTGTCATTTGGAAGGGTATTTTTACAATTTGGAAGGGTAATGTTGTCATTTGGAAGGGTAGTTTTACGCTTTAGAAGGGTTTGGCTAAAACCTTTGCATTTGTGGCAAATACTTTAGGGCAGGCCTTCAAAATCAAGGCTTAGGGCAACCCAAGAACGTCGGGAAAGCCAAGGCTTAGGGCAAGCCAGGGCTTAGGGCAAGCCAGGGCTTAGGGCAAGGCGTGCTTTAAA